TTGCAACGGTCTTCCAAAAACAGAACCAAGCGCATGCAAGACTTGCGGGTTAAAAAAATGCAATCTTAAATTCGGAAATGAGATCCAGATCGGAACGATGGGGGATTCTTCATGCACATCAAAAAACGGTGTCCATTTCAAAACCCACATTTGACAATTGCTAATAAAATAAGATCGCCTTGCAAACACTCTGCTATAATCAAGATCGTTCGAGAGTTGAATCGCGACATGTCTAGAATCCAAAAGTGTTGTTCTTCCCTTTGGGGGTTTTTTCTCCATGGCGGTTGCTCCTGCAGCAAATTCGTGGGGGAAAGCTGCTGATCCGTCTGTTTCTTTGAAAAAAGGTTTTTTTAATCTATATGCTGAGGGCTCTTCTTCACCTTCCAGATCCAGATCTTTTAAAGAAGTTTTAGCCGGTACTTCTGCTTCAGGTGATATTTTTCCTAACGTTAAGCAAGATGTTTTTAATGGTGTTCCGGCGATTTTATTGTCGGATGAGGAAGTTCTTAAGCTTGCTTCACCTTTTCAGTATACTTTGGTGGGTAAATTTGGCTTGAGACGTCCTAATATGGATGCCATTCGGAATTTTTTCTCATCTTTGAAGCTTTCGGGTTTTTATTCTATTGGGCTTTTGGATGCTAGACATGTTGCGATTCAATTATCAAACGATCTTGATTATAGTAGAGTGTTTGCTAGACGTTCTTACCTCATTTATAATTGTCAAATGCGTGTTTTGAAATGGACTCCATTTTTTGATATAAAAGAAGAATCTCCAATTGTTCCGATTTGGATCTCTTTTCCGAACTTACGTTTGCATTTTTTTAATCCTAAAGTGCTGCATGCGTTTGGTTCTATCTTCGGGAGACCTCTCCAAACTGATCAGGCTACTGCTTCTAAAACCCATCCCTCTGTAGCTAGAGTTTTGGTTGAGGTGGATATATCGAAAAAACACCCGAAGGAAGTTTGGGTGGGTTCTAAATCTTATGGATATATGCAAAAAGCTGAATTTGAGAAAGTTCCTGAATTTTGTAATCACTATAAAATGCATGGTCATGCGGTCGCTGAATGCTTTAAACTTAATCCAGATTTGAAAAAAAAATGTTGTGCAATCGAGCGGAGGACCTGGATCTACCGTGAATAATAAAGTGTATGTGCCCATAGTGAATAAAGATTTGGAAGAAAATGTTATTCAGGCGGAACCGTCCTCTGCTATGCACAATGTGTCTTTGGATGCTGGTGAAGGACATGTTTTGGGAGAGAAGGATTTTGGTAAGGAGATCGTTCTGGATAAATCAGAGGAGGTCTTAAATTTCATTGGAAATTCTGTTTTGAATAACAAGGGAAAGGAAATTGTTTCAGACCCTAAGCTTTTCATTTTAGTTGATGATATGTTAAATGAAATGCCTATTAATTCTAATTCTGTGGCTATTGAAAATGCTTTGATTGCTAACCAGGATTTTACAGATTTAGGGGATGGCGGCTCTAATTCTAACTTGGAAACTTATGAGGAAGGGGAAGTTATTCTTGAATCTAAGGATGATCCTTCCTCTTTTAATAATCAAGGTACCTCTTCTTCACCTGCTAACTTGAAGGTTCATAATATTGTGGAGGAGGATGTGGTTTCTAAAGGTGGTAAGAAAAAAGGAAAACAAGTTAAAAATAATTGCCCGGCTACTCCGAGATCTACGAGAGCTCTTAATTCTTACAAAAAAGGTAATGATTAAAGCTCTTATGTGGAATGTGAGGGGTATTGGTGGAAAGGATTCCAAAATTAGAGTGAAAAATCTTTGTAGAATTAACAATATTCAACTAGTTATTTTAAGTGAACCTCTTATTAATGCTGATAAAATAGCTGCTACTGCAAAATGTTTGGGTTTTTGTATGTATTTTGCTAATTGTTCGAATAAAGTTTGGATAATGTGGAATAACCATATTGAAGTAGACATTGTTATGGATTTACATCAAGTTGTTCATTGTCAAATTAAGGTGGATACTTTGAATTGTTATGCTTCTTTTGTTTATGCTGCTTGTACTAGAGTTAATCGGATTACTCTTTGGGAACAACTAGCTAATTTTGCTGCTAATATTCAAGGACCGTGGTGTGTTGGTGGGGATTTTAACATTATTGCTAATGCTAGCGAGAGAAGGGGAGGTAAATGTCCTAATTCTAGAGCTATGAAAGATTTTAATGAGATGATTATTGATTGTCACCTGAATGATATAGGTTTCTGTGGTTCTCCTTTCACTTGGAATAGGGCTAACCTGTTCCAAAGGCTAGATAGATTCTTGTTTAATCATGATTGGTTGGATAAATTTTCGTCCAGTAATGTGGAGCATTTAAGTAGAACTCTTTCTGATCATGCGCCTTTGCTTTTAAATATTAATGTTACTAATCACACTGGTAATTTTGCTTTTAGATTTCTTAATATGTGGTTACTTCATGATAATTTCAAAATGGTTTTGGATAATAACTGGAAAGCTCCTGTGTTTCCTGATAATAATATTTCTGCTATGTTGAGGCTTTGGGCCAAATTGTCTAGATTGAAACAATGTCTGAGGTATTGGAACAAAAATATTTTCAAAAATGTTTTTTCTAATATTGTGGAAGCAGAAGCTAAAGTTATTGAGTGGGAGGGTATCCTTGTTGATAATCCTTCTGAGGCCTTTAGTGTTAGATTGAATGTGGCCAAGAATGATCTTCATAACTTGCATGCTCAAGAAGAGGCTTTCTGGCAATAAAAATCTAATGCTAAATTTGTTATTGAGGGAGATAGAAATACCAAATTTTTTCATGCTTTGGCTAATAAGAATAAAACTAAAAGCAGAATTCACAAAATTATTAATAATGAAGGTATTACTCTTGATTCTGATGAATTAATTTGTAAGTCGGGTTTGGATTACTTTATAAATTTGTTTAATTGTAATGAGAGAATTATTCCTATATCTAATCCTGAGGTTATTCCTAAATTTATTTTGGATGAAGATAATGTTATGCTTTGTCAATTACCTACAGAAACTAAAATTTTTAATATTCTTAGGGATATGAATGGAGATGCTACTGCTGGCCCTGATGGTTTTACGACTAAGTTCTTTCAAAAGTCGTGGGATATTGTGAAAGAGGATGTTATTTTTGCTGTGCAAGATTTCTTTAGAGGTAATGCTTATCCTAAATTTTTTTCATCTTCTAACATTGCTCTTATTCCTAAAACTGATGGAGCTAAAAGATGGATTGAGTTTAGGCCTATTAGTTTGTGTACTTTTTTTAATAAACTTAATTCTAAAATTATTGCTAGTAGATTGGTCATTATTTTACCAAAGATTATTTCTTTAAACCAAACTGGTTTTGTGAAGGGGAGAAGTATTAGTGATAATGTTTTACTTGCTCAAGAACTTGTCAATTATATTAATACTAAAGTTCCGGGGGGAAATATTATTTTTAAGTTGGATATAACCAAAGCTTATGATAATTTAGATTGGTATTTCCTTTATAAGATTTTGTCTTTATTTGGTTTTAGTAAGGATTTCATATTATTGATCAGGAATAGTGTGGATAACTGTTTCTTCTCTATTATTATAAATGGTAGAAATCATGGCTTTTTTAAATCCTGTAAAGGTCTTAGACAAGGTGATACGATTTCTCCTGCTCTTTTTATTATAGCTATGGAATATTTATCTAGAGGTTTAAATGACCTTTTTGCTAAGAATATTAACCTTAATTATCGGAATATAAGAGGTTTTTCTATATCTCATTTGAGTTTTGCTGATGATTTCATTCTTTTTGCTAATGGTTTGATAAAAAATATCAAAATTTTGATGAAATTCTTTTCTAAATTTCATAAATGTAGTGGTCTTAAAGTTAGTAAAGAGAAGAGTAATTTTTTTGTGGGAAAGTCCATTAATCACAATAGGATTTTGGCTATTCAAAGGGTTTGTGGTTTCCAAGTGAAAAATTTACCTATTAAGTATTTGGGTACTCCTATTTTCAAAGGTAAAAAGAAGAATTTCCTCTTTGATGAAATTTTTGCTATAATTCAAAAGAAGTTGGCTAATTGGTCTACTAGTTTTCTTTCTTTTGGTGGCCGGTTGGTGCTGGTGAAAGCTGTGCTTAATTCGATTCCTATATATTTTTTTCATACTCCTATGCCTTCCACGGCCTTGTGTAATTAATAGACTTGAGAGAATGATTAACAAATTTTTCTGGGGTTCTAAAATCAATTCCAAAGCTATTCATTGGGCTGCTTGGCATAAAAATTGTGGTGTTTTTGACGAAGGAGGGCTGGGCTGTAAGAATTTGTATGACACTGCTATTGCTTTTTCTCATAAACTTTGGTTTTCTTTAAGGTCTAATAGTAGTTTATGGGCTCGTTTCATGAATGTTAAATATTGTTTTAATAGGCATCCGACTCTTTGCTATTTTAAAAATAATGATTCTTCTACTTGGAAAAGGTTGTGTAACATTAAGTGGGAAGCTGAAAAGTATATCCAATGGGGGCTGGGTAGGGGAGATATTTATTTTTGGCAGGATAAATGGTTGGGGGACTTTCTATAGATGCTTTTTTGAATACGCATACCTTGGATCCCATTAAAGTTTCTAATTTTATTATTAACAATAGTTGGAACGTGGACATTTTAAAGAATATTTTGCCTAATTGTTTAGTTGATATTATTATGAGTATTCCCCTGAATGTGAACAGTTTTGATATAATTATTTGCTCTGCTTCTTCTAGTGGTAAATTTCAAATGCGTAAGCTTTGAGAGAAGTTTCGCTACCCTATGGAGAAATCTGCAAGATTTGCGGTCATTTGGCATAACTCTTTTCCTATTACTTATTCTACTTTTGTGTGGAGATGTTTTAAAGGTTTTTTACCTGTGGATAACCTTTTACAGAAGAAAGGTTTCAGTTTAGCGTCCAAATGTTTATGTTGTTCTAATGTTGAAGATATTAATCATCTTTTTATTAATGGTCAGATTGCGAAGAAAGTGTGGTTTTATTTTAATCAAATGACTAGTAAAAATGTGGTTTCTACTCCGGATAATTTGTTTGCTATGGTGGATAGTTGGTTCACTCCAACGAAAGGTCACATTTTCAACCTTATTCCGATCCTTATTTTATGGTATATTTGGAAAGCTCGTAACGAGGCTAAACATGACAATATTAAGATGGATGAGATTCGTATTATTGATAATGTTAAAAGAAAAAATATCGCATCTTTATACCTGTAAGGTTGTTACCTATAAAGCTTTTTCTAAATGTAGGAATACTGGTGTGAATTTGGGTATCCAGCTGGAGTTAGATAATTCTATTTATATTGATTCTGTTGTTTACTGGATTAAGCCTCAGTACCCATTTGTGAAATTAAACACAGATGGGTCGGTTGTTTTGTTGAATGCTGGTGCGGGTGGGCTTATACGTGACTCTAATGGGGATCTGTTAGCTGCTTTTGCTGCGCCTATGCAGCAGCTGGATGTCTTCTGGGCCGAACTTAATGCGGTGTTTCTTGGTCTCCAGCTTTGTTTAAAATCGGGTTTTTATTCTGTTTGGATCGAAGTGGATTCTAAACTTGTTGTTTCTAGCATCCAAGAGAATTATAATGGTAATGCACATAATTTCTATATTATGTGAAATATTAGGAAATTACTGAATTTAATGAATTTTAAGATCTCGCATATCTTTAGGGAAGGTAATGTTTGTGCGGATTGGTTAGCTAATAAGGTTTCTCACCTTGTGGGTTATGAAGAAATTGATATTTCTAATCTTGATCTCTCTTTAAGAGGTATGTTGTTAGTGGATAAAACTTCTTTACCTTATATTATACATGGGTGATTAGGGTTCTCTTCGTGTGTTGATTGTACTAAATTTTCCTTTGTCTATTTTTTTTGTTTCTGTTTCTGTCTCTGTTTCGTTCGTGATGGTTATTGGTGACAGAACTGCTGTTGTTCGGTTCTGTTTCAGTTTGTTAATTAAGTGCTGGATGGTTGGAGGGAACTGGAAAGGTTTAATTGGGTATGTTCAGTTGTGGTTTCCTAGGAGGATGGGTATGAACGTGTTTTATTATTTGATGCTTCCAAATATTTATGTTGGTTCTAGTCTGAAGATTGTGGGCAATTGGTGTTTGTATTACACTGGGATTACTGGCTTCG